AAATGCCCTTCCCCTATAATGAGACTGATGACTACTTTATATACCATCCTAGAACCTTCATTCAGTGGCTGATGGAAGCAGAGGCAGACACCCACAGCTAAACACTGAACTGAACTCTGGAACCCAGTTGCAGAGAGGGAGGAGTGAAGAGCAAAGAGGTCAAGACCAGTTTGGTAAAACCCACAGATACAGCTGACCTGAACAAGGGGGAAGCTCGTGGACCCCAGACTTATGTTGGGGAGGCAGGCCAGCATGGGAACTGATCTAGGCCCCTAAACATGGATGTCAATGAGGAGGCCTAGGCACTCGATGGGACCTCTGGAGGTAGATCATTTATCCCTGGCGTAAGAAAGGACTTTGGGAGCCCATTCCATGTGGAGGGATGCTCTCTCAGCCTGGACATATGGGGGAGGTCCTAGGCCCTGCCCAGGATGATATGACAGACTTTGGGGATCCCCAATGGAGGGCCTTACACTCCCTGGGGAGCAGAGGGGGGCTGAGGTAGGGGGCTGGTGGGGAGTGGGGGAGGAGGAGGAGAAGGAGAGGGAGAAGGGAATGACATGTGAAGCAGCTTGTTTCTAATCTGAACTGATAAAAAAATTCTTGGGGAAAAGAGATATATGCATCAATACAAATACAAAGTTCAAAATAAGGAAAAACAATAGAACTTGATATATATTTTGTAAAACACTGAGCAAATATGTTCCTTGTTCAATAATTTTCTTTTCTTTCTTTCTTTTTCTTTTTTTTTTTGTTGTTTTTTTGTTTTGTTTTGTTTTGTTTTGTTTCTCGAGACAGGGTTTCTCTGTGGCTTGGGAGGCTGTCCTGGAGATCCCCCTGCCTCTGCCTCCCAAGTGCTGGGATTAAAGGCGTGTGCCACCAATGCCTAGCTTTTAATAATTTTCAAACAGGTAATAAAATTGTTTTGTAGCTATTAAAATACATGTATTTTTTTTGTTTTCTTTCTTGTGTATACCTGTTTATATGTGTGTGTATACATGCTTGTGTGTATGTATGCATGTGCAAGCATGTGTTATGTCTTTTTGTTTGTATGTATGTGCCTGTCTATGTGCCTATGTGTGCAAATGTGTATATTATGTGTACGTGTTACCCGTGTGTGGGTGGGTGTGCACGTATGTCCAGAGGCCAGAAAATGACATCAAGTGTCCTCCTGTATTGCTCTCTAACTTATTCCCTTGAGACAAGGTCTCTCACTGAACCAGAAGCTGGCTTGTCTCCACTCCTCCTTGTTAGGGCTACTCATCAGCACACTCTAGGCACATATAGCTATGCTCAGTTTTTTTACATGGGTACTGAAAGTATGAGTGCAGACCCTCACTCTTGCACAGTGAGCACTTTTATCCACTGTTCCATCTCTCCAGTTCTTCTTTGTTCTGTTTCTTTTTGTTGGTTGTTGATTTTCACCCCCTGCAGTGTTTGGGAATGGAACGGGGAGGGGGGTGGGGGGGGCGGCTGCATACTAGGCCAATGTTCGATCTACCACTGAGCTGGAAAATCTCTTTCTGTATTTTTGGTTTTGTTTCAACATTACTTCTCAAGCTTTACTACCTCCAAAATTTGACAACTCTAGAAAAAGTGATCAAGACTTCAGTTCAATTCATAGGGGTTAGCACTCATCGCTACAATACTTTAAACCAGAAAGCCAAACGGACTTCAAACAAAAGAGGTCTTGATCACTTAGATGTCTCATCTTCTCAAGTGTCTTTATCAAGTGGCAACACTCTTTCCAACTATGAATAACTTTCTTTTCTTAGAAGTCTTTCTCCTGTTTCCCTACCAAGCATTATAATCACTCCAAGCTCCCCCATTTGCCCACCCACCAACCATGGCCTCGAAGGTACCTGCCCCAGCCACATGCTAATCCTCCTACAAACTGACTTCTTCCTGAACAAAGTAATCAACTCGGTGAATATCCAAATCTATCTTCCCTGGCAAATTCTTAACCATGGAATCAGCATTGGCATGCAAGGATAAATCTCTTGAAGGAATTTATTTAAGATTATTTATTTATTATGCATACAATGTTCTGTCTGCATGTTTGCCTGCACACCAGAAGAGAACATCAGATCTTATTACAGATGGTTGTGAGCCACCACACCGTTACTGGGAACTGAAGTCAGGACCTTTAAAGAACAATGATCTTAATCTCTGACCCATCTCTCCAGCCCCTCTTGGAGGAATTCTAAATCAATATATATTAACTATGAAAACACAAAAATAAACTTAGCCCCTGTGTGCACCATTAGCAAAATACAACCATTAGCAAAGTCTTAGATTAGAGGCCCTGAGTTTAGTCCAAAGACCTAACGAAAAAAAACAGTGAGAATGAGCCAGGTGCGGTGTCCTATACCTTTAATCCCAGTACTCGGGGAGGCATGGGTAGGAGAGGATCTCTGTGAGTTCAAGACCAGCCTGGACTGGTACCAGAGAAACCCCGTCTCAAAAAACTAAAACCAAACCAAACCAAACACTCACCACAGCAAGAAACTGCTTCATGTTTATAAATTATCCAGTACTTTCTTTTCTGGTTTTAGCCCGAGGTTCCACTATACATACCCTCAACCATTTTATGAAAGATTCTCCACCCTGAAATGACAGCGGCTGGCTCCACACACCATGGCCATTAGTACTTTATCTGACAGTGGACAAGAGATCAATCCAGAGGCAACCCTGGTTAAGGAGTCATGCATGTGGGCATGCCTGTAGGTCTTGTCCCTGTGGTTGGGACTGCCCGGGCCATCCAGACTTTCGCTTGGACAGTGTGTAGGAAAGATCCCACAAACAGTTTAGAAATATTGCTGTCACACCAAGGACTAACTCTCCAGGTTTCCATGAATGTTTCATGACCCCTGATATTCCTAATCTGTGTAAAAGGTGTCATTTAGTTTAGGCTCTCCTCTTCAGGTAAGTTGGCCAAATAATGGAACCAAAACTCACAGATAAGGTACCTACCTGCTGAGCCAGTAAGGTGGCTCAGCAGATAAAGGTCTTTACCACCTGAGTTCATTCAATCCCCAGGACTGGCATGTAGAAGGAAAGAACTGATTCCCCAGTCTTCTGACCTCTACATATGTATAATGGCACATACGCTCAATTGCTCTTTCTGGCTGGCACTGGCTTGTGCTCTCTCTCTCTCTCTCTCTCTCTCTCTCTCTCTCTCTCTCTCGGTTCCCCTGAGCTGGAGTTACATCATGGACTCTGAACTCAAACTCAGGTCCTCTGCAAGTGCAACAAACATTTTGGCCTTTCTTTTTTTTTTTTTTCTTTCTTTCTTTCTTTCTTTCTTTTTAAGGACTTGCTGCCAGCACAAGAAACACACCAAGAGATAAAAACAACTCAGCTTGGGGCTGGAAAGATGGTAGTTTGGTAGTTAAAGAGCATTGGCTGCCTTTCCAGAGGACCTGGATTCAATTCCCAGCACCCGTATGGCAACTCACAACTGTCTATAGCCCCAGATCTAAGGTATCTGACACCCTTATACAGATATACCTGCAGGCAAAACACCACTGAACAGGAAATAAAAAATAAATGGCTGGGTGGTGGTAGTACAGTCCTTTTGGGTAGAGGCAGATGGATGTCTATGAGTTAAGGACAGCCTGGTCTACAGAGTGAGTTCCAAGACAGCCAGGGCAACACAAAGAAACCCAGTGTCAAAACAAAACATGTTGTATAGATACAGGGGTCATACCTGGGCCTCCCACAACCATGGGGCTATTGGAAGGTCCCTGGCATGTAGAAGTTGCAATGTCAATGTCTTTTTATTTTTCAACGAGAGGAGAGGAGGGGAGGGGAGGGAGTTAAACAACTCAGCTGAAGAACTCAGATTTCAACAGACACCACCCACCTCCTGCATCTCATACCTTCTTCTCTGAAACATTTCTCTCCACTACTTTTCTGAGTGCACCCAGGAAAAGACAACAAACAGAAAGACCTCAGCAGCTGGTAAAAAGACACTAAAAATCTTTTTTTTTTTTTTTAGTTTTTCGAGACAGGGTTTCTCTGTGGCTTTGGAGGCTGTCCTGGAACTAGCTCTTGTAGCCCAGGCTGGTCTCGAACTCACAGAGATCCGCCTGCCTTTGCCTCCCGAGTGCTGGGATTAAAGGCGTGCGCCACCAACGCCTGGCCTAAAAATCTTTTAAAAAAAAAAAAAAAAAATCAAATTTTGAGGTGCAATTTCAACTAGCTCCAGCAATCTTTTTTGACCCAATCATAAACTGCAGATTCCCATAATGGTATTAATAGGAGACAATTTTATAGTATGAGGCAGTGTAAGGCTTGAGGATGTAGCCCACTGAAAAAGAGAAAAGAGCCTGGGTGGGGCCAACATCACAAATGCAAGCAATCAAGTCTATCAAAGCAGGAACAACAGCTAGCTCTGCTGCCTTGTTGCACAACCAGGAGGACCTGAGTCAGATCCAGGCACTCAGGTAACACACAGTTAAGGTGCAGAACGCCTGTAACCCCTGGCCCCAGTGTGTACAAAACTACACTCACATGCTCATACACTCATAGAGAAATGTCCACACACAAATAAGTATGTGTTTAAAGGGGGGAAGCTTGATAACCTAAAACCCCGCAAGGCAGAAAGAGAGAAACAGTTCCTGAAAGCCATCTTACACACTTACACACACAATCTACATTGGACCTGACCCCAGTAAAATGACTTTACAACTCTCTACATGGATCATGAATTAATTAAAGCAGCCGTGGCAACATTATTCACTAACCTTAAAGGGTAAAAGATACCAACTTTTTCATAGTAATCAGTCAAAAAAAAAAAACCCTAAACTAATAAAAAAAAAAAAATTAACGTTCTAGATTCACAGTGAAACTAGGTAAACCATTTTCATGAGCAAAAGTCTCCCTGAGGTGAACAGTTTTCAAAAAGCAAACAAACACATCCCCTCTGGAAACAAACCAAGACAGTACCTTAGGAAAGAGTAAGTTTCAAAATACCAAGCCGACTGTGATGCACTTACCATGTAACAGCCAATAAGGAAGGCGGCGTTCGCTTGTTTCCTCTGATCCGTGCCGGTAAAATGAATAATTTTCTTTCTCAGCATTGTAATGGACTGCGTCAAAACAAACTGTTGTTAGTATTTTCTACCTTGTGACAAATTCTACATCTCACAGGTATAAGCAGTCTGGATATCAGAGCCTCTCTAAAGGTACTCTCGGGTACCATGGTAATGAGACACAGTGAGACATTAGAATGACTTAAAATTAAAGGGAGAAAGAGAAATAAATGTGAATACCTATATCCCTAAAGACAGGAAGGCCCACCTGGTCATTTCAGAAAGCTATGGGTATAGAGTCAAGACCTCTTAACACTTAAGAACAAAAACGGATGAATCCAGAGTCTGTGGGGACTAAAGTTTTCCCTGGAGGCCACTGTCACTCAACGGTGCCATGTTTTTCTATGGAGACATAAGATTATGGCATTATCCACAATTAGTGACATAGGAATAAATGCCCCAGTGACAGGAGATAGATTCAAGAATCGGGAAAGGTTGGCTCAGGAATCCCTGTTTGCTTGAGACAGGGTCTCACTAATAACACTGGCTGGCCTGAGCTCAGTATGTAGACCAGGATGGCCTTTCAAGTCATAGCCACACACCAGCCTTTACCTCCTAAATGCTAGGATTAAACCCAGTACCCTGATCTATTTGCTTCTTTAATCCTGGGCTGGAGAGATGATTCATTGATAAAGACCTGGGTTTGATTCCTAGTACCCACATGGCAGCTCAAGTCTGTCTGTAACTCCAGTTCCAGGGTATCTGATGCACTTCTTGACACCCAAGAGCACTGTACATACACTCATGAAAAATACTCATATACAAAAATAGTATTATCTCTTTAGAAAAAAATTCATCTCTAGTTCCAAAGCCAGTAAGTTAGAAGGATATACCGAACAAAGACAACCCACAAGCCAGCAACTGAAAGGCCTCTTCTTAATTTATGAAAATTAAGTGCACACTGGGGATCTATATATGTTTCTCTGTGCATGTTACCCATCAACAGGAAAAGAAGTCATCGCCCAGCAGGTCCCCAGTGGTGCTTCACTAATGAGAAATGAGTCAAGGCGAGAACAGAGCACGTTCAGCTCAATTTGAAAGCACTGCTTGTCTGCATGTCCCGGTGTCTCTACTGTCACTGTGTACTCTTTTCCCTTAGCGATTTATATGAACTAACGGATGTAATTCGACTAAAAACAAAACCAAAACCTAGCCAACCATTGACAGCACAGGCACCCTCTTCTTCCAGGGCACTCTGAAACGTACTAGCTAAACGGGCAGTGAGGTTTCAGAGAGGCTAATGACTCAACTCTCCAGTGCTTCTAGCAAGTCATTAGACAGGAATGCACTCATTTCTGGTGGACACAGAGTAAGTCTCCAGCAGGCTAGGCATGAAGGTACATGCACAGGTGCACACATGCATAGATAGATTTACTGTTTCAAAACTAAAGAAAAGGAACAATAGTTGAGAGGGGAGAATGATATTTAGCCTCTTGGCCCTGTAAGAACAAAAGGCTGCCACTGACAAGTGGAAAAGGGGCGGGGACCCAAAGATAGAAGGACACAGATGTTTACTTTGCTATTTAAGAGACCATGGGAAGAAGTCAACTCTTGTGTCTAAATGTGTAGTGAACACAGCTGACGTTCAGGAGGGTAAAATATCTCCCTTACTCACAAACGTGTAATGACGTTAAGCAAAAATAAGTTATTTGTTTTGCATAGGTCCCCGGTAGGTAACCCATTGATAAAGTTTTTGTTTAATTCCTGCCAACAAATTCAGTATTTTCTACTTGAGAATTTATAATGACTAGTTACTTTTTTTTTTACAATTTGAGACATGGTCTCACTATGTGGTCCTAGCTGCCCTGAAACTTACTATGTAGACTGGTCACAAACTCACAGAAATCTACCTGCCTCTGCCTACTAAGTGCAGAGATTAAAGGCATGTATCAATATGCCCAGCTAGGCACCCTGTAAGTGTCTGATGGGTAATTCAGAGCTTTTTAAATAAAGGAATGAGATTTGTGTTCACACTATGTACACAATTGAGGCAGTCTCGAGAACATGAAAATGACCCTTGGTTCTCTTACTGCCCAGTCATTCGTGTAATGGGTCCAACCTGCAACTCACACTCAGAGAGGGCAAAGCAGAGTCTAGTCTGCTTTCCTTGCCATTCATCAGTGCTCCTCTTTGAAAGGGAGGCAGGGGGCTGGAGAGATGGCTCAGAGCTTAGGAGCACTGTCTGTTCTTCCAGAGGTCCTGCGTTCAATTTCCAGCAACCACATGGTGGCTCACAACCATCTATAATGAGATCTTGTGCCCTCTTCTGGCCTGCAGGGACACATGCAGACAGAAAACTGTATACAAAATAAATAAATAAATAAATCTTTAAAAAAAAAAGAAAGGAAGGAAGGAACGAAGGAAGGAAGGAAGGAAGGAAGGAAGGAAGGAAGGAAGGAAGATGGTCAAAGCTAGGGAACAATATCTCTTGTCTGGCTTCAGTTCCCATTAGGTCAGACAAACAGGGACCTGGTTGACGAACTGCCTCTCACTCTAAGCATCAACCCAAAACAGAATCAAATAACCCAAATATAACCCATTCCATTGAAACTAGAAAACAAGTTGCATGTGTTGGTGTAGCCATGAGGGGATGCAGACACTTCTAGGCTAGTCTGGGTTACGTTACATGTAAGTGTGTCTCAAAGCCCAGAAAAACCTCTAAAGAAGAAAAAAAAGTATGCAGTATATAAGTTTAGAAAAAATTATTTTATTAATATTTTTAATATATGAGTGTTTTTTGCCTGCATACCTATGTATGTGTACTATGTGTCTGCCTGGTGCACACAGGCCAGAAGAGGATGTCATGTCCCCTAGAAACCATGGGACAGACAGTTATGAGTCACTGTGAGCGTCCAGTGCTCTTGACTGCTGAGCCATTTCTCCAGACTCAGAAAAATAAAGTATATATTCTAAATACTACTACAGTGATTAACAAGACCCCTGCCCCCTTTTTTTGAGATAGACTCTCACAATGTAGGTCAGGCTATACAGCCTCATCCAGTCACTGTATACCAATGAACTCACAGCAGCCCTTCAGGGTGCTAAAATTACAGGTGCATTCCACCACACCTTTAAACTTTTGGTATGTTTTCAAAACACACTTCAGTAGGAAGCTAGTTTCTTGGTAAGGCTTTTCTGTTTTTTTAAAGATACAATCTTTTTGTCTAGCAGGGCTTGCCCAGAACTTGGGACCCCCCCCACCCAAATGCCCAGAAATCCAGCATGTACCAACACCAGCACACCTGGTCTGAAACTATTTTGTTTTGTAAGAGGAAGTATTCTTTCAAATTCTGAATTTTTTAAACACTCTTGGTTTACTCTAAAATGTTGCTGAGTGATCGCTGCAGTCAAACTTGAACTTAAAAGATTTACCTTGAGCTTCTTATTTATCTTGCAACAATATCTGTAAACCATTGCCAGGTTGAGCGGTCCAAAATCTGCATAAAAACTTTAAAAAATGAATAGAAACAAGTATGAATTAGCTGTTCTGAGTTTAAATGCTCCTAAAAAAAAAAAATCAAATTATGGCAAGAAGGCATCCATCAACCCAAATTAACACGGGCCATACAGTTCTAAGGTCTTGTCCTTCTAATACTAACAGAAGGAATATTCTGGTAATAAACACCTACTTAAATAGACAAGTGGGATAGAGTGAGGAGAGCTCAGCCAGCATGCACCAGGCCTTGCTGCCTTCCCCTAACACACAACACACACCCCCAGAGGTGTAGACTAACTCTAACCTCAATAAAGAAAATTGTTCTTACACATATTTCCCACTAGCAAAACCAGTATCTTACATGTTCATATCTGAGACAGCTCTTCAGTGCAAACTCTTACAATATCAAATCTCAGTATTTAAACAGAGGTTCTCTCTACCCTCAAAGATCTATTTTATTACCAAGAATTTGCAACAGCACCCAGCTGCAAGTGGTCATCAGATACACGATTTTCCAAGGCTATGTCGTCTGTACTCATACCAAGAGACTCTTCAGAACGGTTTAAAAGTTTCAGTCATAAGAGGCAATACTTACTTCTCATACTCAAGTTCATTATCTATGCTGAAATAATGTTCGTTTGACGCACTCTTTGGTCTGCTGTAGAGAATGGCAAAACAAAGGCGATCTGAAATGGAAAAATTGCAATGTTCCTTCCTTCAAGCTATTAAAAAGTATCCCAAGTCAAGACCCAATTCTTTTCTGATGAATTCAAAGATAGAAATAATCAATTGTGTCATGCCCCACCCCCATGATGGGAAAGGTGACAATGTATAATTTTTAAATTGATTTTGTGTCCATGTGCAAATACCCACCCCCCACCGTGTTTCAGATGGAAAAGGTGACAATGCATAATTTCAAAACAGTCTTTCTTTGGTGAATAACAATAAATCAGCAAAAGTTTAACAGAAGAAATTGCCTTAATCTGTAAGTTTTTTTTTTTTTTCAAGACAGGGTTTCTCTGGGTAGCTTTGGAGCCTTTCCTGGCATTCTCTCTGGAGACCAGGCTGGCCTCAAACTCAGAGATCCACCTGCCTCTGCCTCCCGAGTGCTGGGATTAAAGGTGTGAGCCACCAACACTGGCCTAATCTGTAAGTTTCTACAGTGGTAGGTGATATTTCATACAATGATGCTGTTTTGACTTCTGAAGCAAAACTAGACTTAAGTAATCTCAGGAAATACAGCACACGTTTGATGGCTGTAGCCGTGCATTAAGTTTATGAGGAGACATACATAAAGCAGGAAACAATCCTTTCTAAGTAAAAACAAAGAATGGTTTCAATATTGTTGATTACAGCTATGCAACACAAGGTGTGTTTACCCAAATCTTTTCATGGATGTGCATTTTTTAAAATTTTGGCATCATGGCTTTGAGTTTCTTACACATTACTGTTAAAAAAAAAAAAGCAATGGGAGGCCAGACTGGGATGGAGTTTGTTGCATGAATGCAGTTAGACTGCTGGAGTTTATTTAGCAAGAAGGGCAGTAATATTCAAAGGCTTCACCCTTACCTCCACCCCCCCAGAACAGGGCAGTATCTAATAATAATTAGATCCCAACACTCAAAACATGGCAAAAAAAAATCAAAGACAGCCTTTGAAATACACATTATTTTCAGACCAACTTGTTAGGAGTAAGAAACAACACAAGCTGGTACATCCTAACCCCTAAACGGTAATGAAAACTTTTCTATGTGTTGCCTCCACTCTTACAACTGCTGTACATATGTCCTAGTAAATCCAACAACAAACTTCTTGAAGCCACATTCTAACGGTTGACAGGACTATAGTCCTTTCCAGCCACAAATGACCTTTGATCCGCAGCGCTCAGTGCCTGGGCATTTCACTAGCTTCCAAGCGTGGGTGGAGAGGGTGCAGGGCACAAAGGTCATACGCACACTAAGGTGTCGGTTTGCCCCAAAGTCATTAGCCCCCGAGGGGAGGCCAATGGGGAGCTCGAGCAGCAGATCGCTCCTCGAGCTGGCCCGAGCCCTACCCTACCCTGAGCACTCACCTCGGATCACCTCGGCCACCCGAGGGGTCCCCGCGCCCTCCCGGCTCATGACTCCAAAGCATCTGGAAGGCAGGGCAAGAGAAGGACCCCGGTGGGTCTGGGGATGACCGGCCACGGGAAGAAGAATGCGAGGGCGACCACACCCCCGAAGTTTAAAAAACAGTGAAGTTTAAAAGGCCTCGCCCATGCATGGGCACGGCGACGCCCTGGCGGGTGACAAGCAGCAGCCTGGGAGCCAACCCCGGAAGTCCAAACTCTGGGACGTCCCAGGGATGGCCATGTGCCAGCGTCCTGCAAAAGAGGCCAGGCCCACAGGTACGCGAGGCGAGGGGTCAGATGCCCTGCAAAAAGAGAGACCTGGCCCACGAGCACGCACAACCAGGGCCAGCTGTCCGGCAAAGGAAGAGACCAGACATACAGGCACGCGTGGCCAGGGGCCAGCTGTCTTGCAAAAAGGGCCACTAGGCTAGCTCGGTACACAGGGCCAGCCCAAAACCCGCCAGCACGCAAGACCCAGGCATGCCTGATGAAGGATTTGGGGCCAGGCCGACGCCAGCCTCCGCCACGGACTCAGGACTCCCTCCTCTCCACTCCTCCCTCTGCCCGCCACCAGGGGGCGCTGCACGGCCAACACCACTGAGCGTCACCGCTTGGATCAAACAGGCCTCTGGGCTCTGCAAGACTGTTTTAATAGCAAGGTGAGTTTAGCCTGCTAGAGTTGAGCAAGACAATACTCCCAGCACTTGGGAGGCAGAGGTGGAAAGAAAAAAAAAAATCAAGAAATCAAGTCAGTCTTACCTAAAGAAAACTCAAGGCCAACCTAAGCTGAGAGTCTAGTGTGTCTCAAAAAATAGAGGTTAAGATGGCTTAGCAGGTAAAGGTGCTTACCCCTCAAAGAGGCAAGCCTGATGACCACAGTTTAATGCCCAGAACATTAACGGTGGAAGGTGAGAACCAACTCTACAAAGTTATCCTCTGACCTCCCCAGCATATCGGATGGGCACGCACGTGTGCGCGCGCACACACTATTTTAAAATCAAAAGTAAACGTACCACTCAGGGTAATTTGCTATTTTAAAGGTATGGGAATGGGCGGGGCGGTGGTGGCACATTCCTTGAGATGTTTTTTACTCATTTCTTTATTTTGTGTGGTATTCACCTTGTGAGTTCCAGGGATCAAGCTACAGACAGTCACCAGGAATCTGTGCAAGCTCCCCTACCCATGAAACTATCTCACCCACTAGTCCTGCTTGCATGTTTAACACATGGATTTAATGTGTGCCTTAAAGTGTGTGTACATGCAAGTACTGATATCTAAAGTCAAAAAAACTGCTCAGCAGTGGACACCTTTAGAGCAGAAGACTGGACTTGAAACAAAGATGTGTAAGAGAGATTTGTGCCTTTTATGCCTTTTGAACTTTGGGTTACATATTATACATTGAGAAGGACAACATTCTGAAAAACAAACTTGCAGGCTAACAATGTTTATGCAAAGCTAACTCCCTTAGAACTGTGAAGCACTTTAAGAGGATGCCTGGAGGGGGAACTTTCCAAACACTGAAACCTGTGTGTGCTTTCTAACCATTCTTTGGAAATTCCGAGATTTTTTGTTTGTTTTATTTTTGTTGTTTTTTGATCAAGATATGTCTGTGTAGCCTTGGTTGCCCTGGAACTAGCACTGTAGGCCCCAGGCTGGCCTCCAACTCACAGAGAACAGCCTGCTGGGACTGACAGTGAGTGCTGGAATTGAAGGCATGGTGCGCTGCCACCACTGTCTAACCGTTGTTTTGTTGGGTAAAGGCACTTGCAACCAAGCCTGACAACCTGAGTGCAACTCCTGGTATTCACATTGTAGAAGGAAAGTACTACTCCCTGAAAGTCATCTTGGGACCTCCACAAGCACACACAAGCATGCAGGCATGTGCACATGCAGCCATTTAATTAAAAAGTCTTGGGGGTCTGAGGATGTACAAAGTACTCATCTAGTAAAGTTGAAGCCAACAAAAAGTCCTGGGCTTTTTGTATTTGCTGGTTTCAAAACAGTTATCTTGGTTGCAAGCTTTATCAAGTGAGCGCTCCACCAACCAGCTCCATGTCCAGACTAAGAACATCTTGGAATCAGTTTACCATGGAAAAACATACTTCTCTAGGGTGATGGGGGGGGGGGGGGGGAAAGGAAGCTTTTGTCCCCCATCAGTGTGCTCAACTCCCTTTACCAGCATATGCTCCAGTTGACCCGAGATCTATCTATCCATGCAGACCCAAGGATAAGTAAAGCACCAGTCACTCAATTCTCAATGGAAAATGTGTTTGTAACTCTAGCCAGTTGCCTTTGCCACCCCTCCTTCAGCCTTGTGACTCCTGTAAAGTTTATGCCAACTGACCAAAGCAAGAGACCCTGAATCTTCCCTGGAGGGAATCTGCCAGCATTGCCTCACATGCTCTCTGGCTATGTGAAAAACTCCAGTTCACATTCTAGTTTCAGCTGGAGATGCAGTGCAGTGATACAATGATGCCCAGCACCCACACCTGTAATCTCACCACTTGAAAAGTGGAATCAGTCTATGGCCATACCACCCTGAATGCGCCCGATCTCATCTGACCTTGGAAGCTAAGCAGGGTCAGGCCTGGTTAGTACTTGGATGGGAGACCACCTGGGAATACCGGGTGCTGCAGGCTTTGGGGGCTGGAGAGACGGCTCAGGGGTTAAAGAGCTCCAGCTGCTCTTCCAGAAGTCCTGAGGTCGATTCCCGGCACCCACAGGGTGGCTCTCAACCATTCTTAACGAGATCTGGTGCTCTCTGAAGACGGAAGACTGTATACATAATAAATGAATAAAATCTTTAAAAAAAAGAAAAGAAAAGAGAAAAGAAAAGTGGAATCAGCTGGGCGGTGGTGTCGCACGCCAGCACTTGGGAGGCAGAGGCAGGTGGACCCTTGTGAGTTCGAGGCCAACCTGGTCTACAAAGTGAGTTCCAGAACAGCCAGGGCTGTTAGACAGAAAAGCCCTGTCTTGAAAAACCAGAAAAGTGTAATCAGGAGTTCAAGGTATCCTTGATTTACATAAGTTCAAGGCTGAGACCTTTTCTCAGAAACAAGACCTTAGTTTCAAGTAAAGGTGTAGTCCAGCGCTGCTTAGTAGCAAAAGGCCAGTGGCTCCATTGCCAATACACACACAGTCTAGCAAGACTATTAGGGAGCACGTTGGGGCTGGTTACTTATGCAGTCCCCTCTCACCAAGCTCTTGACTATGAAGTACCAGTTGAGTGGTACTAATCCCAAGAGTGACAATCCTATAATGAAATATCGTGAAGTCTGCCAAGAAAGAAGCTGATCTCTGAATTTGCTCTCTTTTGTACCTGCTTGCTTTGAAAAAGATTTGTTTCATAAATGACGGCTTTGCAGAACTTCTGATTGAAAACTGGCTTTCAGTGTAACCATAGCGAGGGTGACTGTGTTATTAAACTCCCTCTATTCAAGATTTTTCAGAAATGACTGCTTAAAAAAAAAAAGTCCTAAAAGATGGGCACGCTGGTTGGTTTTTAACTGATATAAATGTAGACTTATCTGGAAAGAGAATCTTGACCGAGTGGTTGCGTTCATCAGACTGGCAAGCCTGTGGAGGCATTTTCTTGACTAAAGGTTGATGCAGAAGGCCTACCTCACTGTGGGTGATGCCATCCCATATGCAGATGGTCCTCATTTGTGTAAGAAAGCAGGCTGAGTAAGCCGTAAGAGCAATGCAATAAGCGAGTTCCTCCATGGTCTCTGCCTGAGTTCTGCCTTCTCTCAGTGATAGAATCTGACCTGAGGAATTTTCAGCTAAAATAAATCCTCTTCTCCCCAAATTGCTTTGGGTTATGGTATTAATCACAGCAATGTAGTTGTTTCACTACAACTGACTCAGGTCAGACAGCAGTAGGCCAGGGGAGTGTGGTCAGATTGTATCACGAGCCTGTCACACCCAGCAGGCACAATGGTTAGAGCTGACCCAGAGACAGATGGATGCCCATCTAAGGTTACAAGCCAGGAACTTTAGCGAATTCATATATATATATAATGTATACAACATTCTGCTTCCATGTATATCTGCACACCAGAAGAGGGCACCATATGGTTGCTGGGAATTGCCCTCAGGACCTCTGGAAGAGCAGCCAGTGATCTTAACCTCTGAGCCATCTCTCCAGCCCCCTTATTTTTCTATTTAAGTCATTTCAGAGGGGATTTACCTCAATATTTACCTCATTTCAAAACAAAAATTTTCCCGAAGAAACATTTTCAACCAATTTCAGGCCTTCTTAAACTTTTTTTTTTCACCTGAGACCACTTTGCCCATAGAATTATTATATATACGTGTGTGTGTATTGCTTGTTTTTTGAGACAGGGTTTCTCTTGTGTAGCTTTGAAGCCTGTCCTGGAACTCGATTTGTAGACCAAGCTGGTCTCAAACCAACAGAGAGATCCACCTGCCTCTGCCTCTACCTCCCGAGTGCTGGGATTAAAGGTGTGCACTACCACCACCAATCGGCTTAGAATTTTTTTATTAATTTAGGTAAGATGGGGTTGTATAAAATAGGTATACAAATAAAATATGTACTGGTAAATCAGAAGGAAAATTACTTTTAAGCAATTCTTTGGCATACATGCAAGATTTACCATTAAAGGCTAAACTGAAGTTGCCTACTAACTAGATGGATGTGTCTGGTTATTTTCACATAAAGAATGAATTTTTGGGTGAATATCTGGTAATGCAGGACACAAAGCATCTTCGAGATTTCAGAATTCATCAACGTTTTGATTTTACTGTCAACATGCTGAAAACATGGCATTTTTACATAAACATACAGTACAAAAATGGCACAGATGTTTAGTCATTTCAGAAACTGTCTCAATCCTGTCCCAATCAAGACAAAACTCTGATTGTTTTAACAAACTCAAGTCAGCAATTTTTAAAATCAATATTCTACCGTAACACAATCTAAAGACAGACTATGAGAGAGAGAGAGAGAGAGAGAGAGAGACTATTTGACACATACACGATGAGGATGGCATCCGAAACTATTACTAAAGTCTTTGCTTTCTATAATTAATGTCTGTGAGAGAAGAGAACTGAACATGCAGCAGACCCTGCAATGCAAGTGGTGTTCCAGGCAGAGAAGTATGCACAGACAAAACAAAACCAAGGACGCAATGAAGCCACTCAGAAAACACAAGCAAGGGCTACCAAGAACACCTCATGGTCATTCTGGTTTGATTCTGAAATAGTATTTGCTCACTGCACACTTTAGAAACTTTTTCACTAGTGCCATTTTTCAGCTACCCTGATATTCAGCACCCAGCTCTGCATGAAGTAGCACTCCACACATTAGGAAGCCGAACCTTCGTTATTAAAACAAGGTCTTTTTGTTTGCTCATTTTTTTCAAGAAAAATTGGCCACTGCCTCCATGCACCGCCACCACCCTGATTTTTAAAAATGGAAACCAGGGCAAAACACTTGAAGAGAGTTGACCAAAGAAAATAAATGGCCTGTAGATGAAAAGAAGTACTAAAAAAAAAAATTTTTTTAGAGCAAT